ATGTGAGTCCTTTCACTTTTTCCCTTTGTTTATCAAATGAACAAATGAATCGGTAGTGATGAGAATGATAACATTAAGGTGATGCTTACGAATCACTTTGCACTTAACACTTCACAGGGGACAAATTGATTATGACTGTCATCTGCTTCATTACGTTAATTTATTCTTGAGTTTATTTTTGGATCTACACTATATTCGGACAATGCTCAAGTTTAGTCAGAAGTGTTTTGGTAACAGTGGTACCGCGACAGTATTCTTTTGCGTATTTGTGATTTCACACAATTTTTTTCTATTTTGTGGGCCCCTTAGTTTCACCTTATATATAAATAATATACTAGAATATGAGTCGTGAGAAGGATTTTTATGCCCTTGGACAGTGGGCCAATGAAATAAACACTATGAATGATGAATATGGAGAGATGTCTTACTTACAATATGCAGGCTCGGTCGTATGATTTTATGGATCCTCGTAGAGCGCAAAATTGAAACTACAAGTGATTCGCTTGTTTTTCAGGATTGTTCGACTTATTCTCAGGATTTAGGCGTTTCATTTTACTAATCCGAACAATTACCTCAGCTCACAGTCTTTACAATCTCTACCAGATACCTGCTTGTTAGTCTTATATATATATAGCAGTTTCCTCTGAATCACTTATATTCCTTATTTTGGACTGAAATATGCATGGCTTTTTACATCATGTTTCTGCCAGTTATGTACTTATCGAAAGTCATGCGTTTGTGAGTTAACCTACATTCGCATCTCAATATATGTTTTCGGTAGAAAATCCTTATTATCTATTATTCATACTTTAATGGATCTAAAAGAGTCTTAGTGATTTTTAACTCGAGGACCTTTTAGAATATTGCTCTCGGTATTTTTTTGACTAGTAGGTCTTGGGCCTGTGAAAGTAGGCTCAAATTCGAAAATTGGAAAGAAGAATATAGTAATGTGATGACGATCACATTACTATATTCAAATATGACGGCATAGATTATTATTCAGTTTATGTAGTGATTAAGATTTCTTATGGCAGTATATGTTTTCGCCCGTTTCTCGTGGAATTAATGTGATTAATTAGTTCTATGGCTCTTGTTTATTAATTCTTTGAATTATCTCGTTCTACTGTTAATTCTCTTTTCTCTATTAAACTCGCTCGAAAGATCTTGGTTTATTGACACGGATTTCATTTGTCCCACCATTATATTGAACTGTGTCTTTAATTGTGAGTTTAATACCGCTGTTGTTATGGTTACCATAATTTATTTGTGATTATTATTATGTATTTTTTATATCATGATGGTATAAGAGACAGACCCCTCTTTCTTTTGTAAGGAACTTTCACGTAAATATGGCGATATTTAAAAGTTTTTATGTTTTTTTGAAGACAAAGACCACTAAAATACATTATTGAAGTAAATATTTATCGTCAATAAGAAAAGAATCCTAAATTTTAATGACTTTCTCACTCTACATAGTCTAGTATCCTCTTACAAGTCTTATTATAACCTTTGGTGTATTCTTTCTGGCTTCTGGGGGATACCTCGACAGGATGATCATTTCTTAAAGATTAAATCATGAACTGAATCGTAATAATGTCGTTGACAGGCCAAGTTTCAGAATGCAGGGACAATATCACATGCCATCCCTAGTTAAAAGAAACACAGGCCAGTTAACAGTTTAATGCAGGAGCGAGAAATCATTTTTTGTCCCCAGTGTAGGGGGTCTATTAATAGTTGTTCAATATCAGAGTGGTCAGCCCTTTTGAAATGAATTTATAAGAGCAGAGGTGGCTGTGTTTTGGCTTCAAGGAAAAGTAGTTTTTCGACACAATTTAGGGATATCGCCGCATGACTCACAGTGACTTTGGGCAGCATTCCAGAAGGTCAGGTTCAGACAGGGGCGATCCAAATGGAAGAACGAATTGGACATGGGAGCCTCAATTGTATAGCTTTGATATATAATCTTTGTGCAGTGTTATCGCTATGTAATACTACACCAGAGATGTGACACTGAAATAACTTATTAAAAAAAAAATAGATTAGTTATCTCTTCAAAGGGTATCTTACTATGCTCACTTTACATTTTTGCTTTATTTTTAAATTTTGCGTCTTTTGAAATCCTTCGCGAGATTATTAGGGTTTTGAACATTTTCAGGAACTATAAATTTAAATGAAAAATCATCCAGAATTATAAATCTCATTGTTTTTACAAAGTGTTTTATGGCAGATGGGAATTCTTCGACAATGCCTTGCTCTTGTTTTAGCCAATAATTTTTATGGTTTTTTATTATGTGGGCATATTATCTACTTATTTCTATTGTATAGGGTACGAATAATTATAAATGTTTTTGGATTCATTTGAAATTTTCAATTAATGACAGAGACTCGTGACAAGAATTTTACGTCTTTATTTATTTAAAATGATATCATAATACTGAGCATTCCATTTATATGGGTTTGTAAGATGCCAATCGAAATCGAAGTTTGACTTTTGAATAATTTTCGGATAAAGACATCAGATTTATATGTGGAATTTATCAAACATTTACATAACATCGCAGTAAGCCGTTCTGATTAAGCCACTATTCAGCATAAATATGCTCGGGTAATTCTTTGATGATATTTTTTACAGCATATTTGAAAGGTCACATTAAAGTGGGAAATTTCTAGTGAACTAAGTGGATACCAGCTACATGAGTACGAGTTAGTGAGGTTATTTAGAAATTGTTATTGCTATTAACTTGACATAGTTTGCGAAATATTTTTAATTGCGAAACTGGAGTGATCTTGCTCAACTAAAATGAAAGACGAAAAATGTATTCACTTCTTGATCACTCAGTAAATGTAAGATTTCAGAAATTGTTAAAAATACATGGATGAGATACATAGCGGTATGTCGTATGTATTATTTTGATTATTGCGTCAACGCTGCATCCATGTCACTTTTGTCTTTTCTAATGAATCAAAAAATTATCTTCAGTGGTTACTTTTTGTCTTCCAATTTGGAAGTTTTTCCAAAATCAAAACGCAATCTTTTGTGAAGCCAGCAGCTATGATGAAGCTTCGTTTGGAAACTGATACTATGCTCGATGACGTGCCATAAGTGATATCAACCTGAATATTTGTATGTCTGACTAGGGAGATCATACCATTCAATGATTATTTGCTTGATTTTAGGAAGTTTTTAAAGTGAGGAGAAAAATGTGAACTTATTACAGCACTACTTGTCAGTAATTAGCACAGACTTGTAAGATTTAAAAGAGAACTATGCAATACATCTCTGCAAGTAGCGGTTAAAGCGATTCTCATCACTCTAACTCAGGTTTAAGTCAAAGTTGAACTTCTCATCGTTGGTTTGTCTGGTAAACGAATGCATCAAATCCCCGAACTAGTCAAATGCAACATACTCATGTCGATAAATTTGCTACTTAGAAATATTAATATGATAGCAGTCATCAAAGGCTAGAGCAGGAGCATTAGTAGACGCGTTATCGTCATCACATCCTGACTACCATCAGCTGCGAGATGAGCTGCTTACTGGTGGAGGAGCAGTGGAGAGAAGGCGCAGTTGGAGTCAGCAGGAGGCGTCACTGCGTAGCTGTAAACATTTGATCAGCTACAGCATTATTCCTAAGACTACTGCTTCCGGTAGCTATCGATTATTGTAACATCAACCTTTTGCCTGTTTTTACACCATACCCTAAATATCATGTGGTTTTGGTTGGACTGATTATCCTAAAGCAGTTGAATTTCGAATACCATATATAGTGATTTAAAAACTCAAATAAGTTTTGAGTTCTTGATATGTTGCATAGAAATAGAAGAAAAAAAAACCTAATTTTTAATTTTTACACGAATTTGAGTTTTGGTGGAGGTTATAAGTTTCATCATTTTAAGAATTCCAATTTCCACATTCCTCAAACATGAGGAAAGTTAGAAATTAGATCAAGTGTTGTGAGTTGTTAGCCCTGCTTATTCGTCATGTACTTTCTTGTTTGGAAATGTGAAAGTTTTCGATGTGATATTTGGAGAGAAAACTATTGGAATGAGAAAAAGATGTGCGATATTGGCTGTAAGTGGGGAAAAGAAAGAGAAATGAGATTTAATAAGAAGGTACGATGTAGTACATCTACAGTGCGGATAAATAATGCCATTTAAGTTTTAGTTCTAACTTACTTTCGTCTACTTTCAAGTTGGTTTTAAACAAAAACTAATTCATTAGAACCTTGGATAAAATGTTTTTCAATTGATTCAAAAAGGACAAAATTTTAGCTTGTGAGATACAACGTTCAAAAATCGAGAGAATAAACCCTAAGCCTTTTAAGTGATGTCAGCTGAAGGGTTTTGGTTATTCGACGGTTTGGAAGAGGAGCCATATGGTCTTTTACCGCTTGTTAATTTATCTGGAAAGGGCGGACCGACATCCACGAAATTTGTCGAAAGAATCGGCTCATATCAATGGTATTTGAATGACGAAACACCTACCATCGTTGTAAGTTTTAATCATTTCTCATAATAAATAAATCCGTTTTAAAGATATAAGTACACTGTTACTCAATTAGAAATTTATCATGCGTGCTGTTCATGAAACAACTTTCATTTCTTCTCCACATTTTTCTTTTCTTTCTAAAGCAAATCATATTTTTTACAAATTATAAATGCAATAAGTTTAAAAGTTCTTGCTACAATAAAAAGACTTGTTTATCAAATCTTTCAAATATAGGAATTTGTCACAAATTCCTTAATCTTTGTAGAAATTCAGATTTTATTTTGAATGATGCTACATTTCATCATCTAATTAGGCCGCTAATGAATCACTCAGTACCAATAAAATTTCGTTCATTTTTATTTAGATGCCCGGCATGCCTCTAGAATCTTTCTTCTGGGCTGGTGGCAAACTACAACAAGATCACGGTGTAGTTATATACGACGTCAATCACTTAAAAGTTTTTTTTTCTTCTTTTTTTCAATAACTAAAAAACTTCAGTTTTTTTTTTCATTTTTATAAGTCACTTTTTCCATTTTTCATTAGTATCTTCTCGGCAGTTCAAATAAATATTTTTTAGCTTGAAACCAGTTTTATCGTTATTGACATCAGGTGCACAGGAAGGCATCTAGGATGAAAGAAATTTAGGTCAAAGTTGAATTCATATTCAACTGAAAGTGCCGATAATACTATATCAGTAATTATTTGATGATGCACGTACTCAGTTTAACCATCTTAATATCAGAGATCTTTCAGATTCCAACAGGTTCGTTAGACACAGCAATATTAACTGCACATCACATGACATCAAAGGCAGAAAAACCAATTAATTTCAACGAATACAATTTTATCACCGATGCTGTAAATTTGCAAAAACTATTTGCATTTGCACAGGAAGCTGGTGACGGATTGTTTCGAATTGATGTAGAGCGGATAGGGAAAACCGTTTTATTGACGAGGTAATTATATGCCTTAAAAAAGTCACTTCTAAAACAACATAACAAGTTTGAACTTTATTTTTTTTTCGGTCCAATTTCTGTAAATTCGTTATTTAGTACTTGCCTATTTTGATAAAATGCCTTTGATTGAGTGTTTTTACTAGTAACTCTCAATCGTTTATCTTCTTATCTCGATAATTTTATCTCGATAAGAAGATAAACGATTGAGAGTTATTTTATAGATAAGATTAATAATATATATAAAATAAACATGAGGACATCGTCCATATCTTCATCCGATTTGTCATGTTTTTTTTTTTTTCTATTTCCAACAATAATTTGTGATATAAAATCAGTTGCTGGTAAAAAAAGCTAAAAGCAGATGCTACTTCCTTCTTCAGAAGCTTAAAAAAATTTTTTTAATTAAAAGTTTTGTGGAGGTATGTATTAGAGGTACTCTAATGGCTGTATTCCTTAGAATGGAAGCGTCAGATCTCATGGAAATTGGTCATGTAACATTTGATCAAGCATTGAAACGAAAAATGACGAAGGCGAGGTCAAAATTCACTACTGGTCCATTTTTCCAGCTTGTTTCTTATCATTTTGGCAAGTTCAAACTACTGGTGCGATTCGAAGTTGACTGCGCTGATTATGCTAGTGTGGAAATGCAAAAGTAATGATTTTAACGTTTTTCTGGACTGGATATAATTTTATATCTCATTGCTGCAGTCATTGGAAAGGTTGGATGTGATCTGCGAATGGATGGATAACAAATGAGACTTTTCAAGTTTCTTTCTTAGTACAGTCGCTTTTAGTTTATCTTTAACTGGCATTAGTTCGCATCTTTGAAGTATTTCTTTCGTTCTTCCATCTAATTTCAGTGATCATTAAATCTCAAGAATTTCCTAAAAATCTTTAATCGTCTTTTGAAGTTAAAATTATGAAGCTCTGTTTGTTGGCAGCATGATATATGCTTTTGCAGCGTAAGCTGAAAAATGAGATCGATAATTTCGCTAATGAAAATACCTTTTTTCTTATCAAAATATTTTTGAATTGTCGACAATAGATTAAACTACAAACAGTTGTAACTTGCCCCGATCCTATACACAACGAACAGCTGTTCCTCTTATATCTCGTAGCGGACTGCAAATGAGAAATCAGTGATTCATTTCACAAAGAAATTGAAATTTTTGCAACTTTTTCTGTAAAGAATTTAAAGACATAATTTGAAAATAACTAATTTCGAGAGCTAGTATATTTTAATAAAAAGTTTTTGACTATTATCAGGGTTCGAGTCATCTTTGTCCGTATTACTAATCAGTGAGCACTACTCACATTTATCAACAAATCTCTATTTTTCAAACTAGATGTGAAAGTTTTCAAAATTGTACTTAATTCGCAAAATCTATTTTAAAAGCGATATCACATTTTTAAATTATATTATCAATGAAATGAGTCAAATAATGTATTCCTTAAAATCTGAAATTGATTTACTAAATGCATAATCCATTTAATAATTAAATCATTGATTTGTAGTGACAATCATCTGGAAAAAGAAGGCGAATTGGAACCAAAAAAGAAGAGATTTAATGAAAATAATGCAATTTCATACATGGAATATGGTGAAGTGCCACGAAATATCGCGTTGCAACTTCTAACAACCTATCCACAAGGTGCTGGATTTCCATTCTTTACCTGGGCACAAATGTTTTTCACCGCTGCAGATCAGGTTTGCATATTAATTATCTAGCTAAAAAGGCTGTGAAAATAATTTAAAATCACATCTCTACACTAATTTGAACAGCGTCTAAATAAAGAATACATTTCTATATCCATAATTTAGAATTTATGTAGGAGATCGTTGGCTGGTTCAAAGGAAATGGCGATTTTGGAAAACCAGCTATGAATGCTCTGTCGGACATTTCTAAACTAATCAAGCCTCTGCCCTATGTGGTGCTATCAAAAGTTCACGATTGCCTAGATAAAATTGCGAAGTTTTTGATAAAAAATGATCCTGAATTCAAATGTTCTTTGATATGGAAAGGTAAAAATCACCTAGAAATTTTTGCTAAAACG